AAAAGTCTGTGCTCCCCGCTTTAGAGTGGCGTGACGACGTTGCAATCGCAGGCGCCCGGTGTTCGTTCGGGTTTCGCCATTTTTCGCGGGCATTGCATCATTCTTCGTTTACATATTACGACTTTGTTTCGTTTACACATTACGATTTTTCGTTACTGATTTTTCGTTGATGATTGCCGTTGGATCGGCTACCCGGCCAATTATAATCGACAAGAAGAAGAAGACTACTACTAGATACTTGTTTCTAATAATTTATCTATAATAAATAATAGTCTTTCTTTATCCATTTTGTAATTTTTTGCTGCCTAACTATAGTTTTATTTGTCCGTACCAGGAAGTAAGATATAAGGAGACTCCACTCCGTAAAATAAAAGTGGACCCATTTTAGGTTTCGAGTTCAGCTTCCGATTCTGATGAGTGCGAGTAAGAGAAATGATCATTTCTCTTACTCGCACTCATTATGCGCAGCACTACTAAATTCACGAGCGCTGCGAGTGTCGAGAATCGGAAACGGAACTCGAAACCTAAAATGGGTTCATGTCTTGTAGACTGGCGAGACCGAGTGGAGTCTCCTTATATCTTCCTTCATGGTCCGTACATACATACACCAAACTGCACTGACAAAAATGTCAGTGCAATATTTCTTGCACTCGTTCGGTTCATTCGAATACAAATTCAGCACTACACTAGGTCAGTTTTCATTTGCCGAATACGATAATCTAAGCGCACTGATACGGTATGTACACGAAAATTTTCACAAAATAAAAAATGACCACCTTTCTATATTAATTGTCACAATCCATGGACGATTAACGTTACGACTGAACCTTATCGTGCATGAGTAATGACAATTAATATAGAAAGGAGGTGACTTTTCATTTTGTGAAAATTTCCGAGGGACAGAATTAATTACCGTGGGTGTACGCACATTCCGAATGCGTGGCACCAAAAAAGTTCGCACTCAGTGCGCACTGGTGCGCACTAGTGCAGTCTGTCGAATTCGCCATTAAGGCCATCACAGTACGAAAATTTTAGTAGTAATCGTAAGGTCTTAAGCATATCGACCAATCACAATCAAGATTACGATCTCACATTTTAATACGCTAAAAAACTGTGATTGGCCGATTTGCTTAAAGGTTGGATTATACTGGCCGTAATCTGTTAACTTATGCTGTAATCTATAAAAATTGACCAATTATAATCGATTATTCCCCTCTCATTCGACTGTGATTGGTCAATTTTTACAGATTACGGCATAAGTTAACAGTTTACGGCCAGTATAAATCAACCTTAAGACCTTACGATTACTACTAAAATTTTTGTACGTGTGATGGCCTTTAGGGTGCAAACCCATGCAGCGGAATAGCAGAACGCGGAACGAGAGCGGAACCAATCACGAGCGTTCACGTTTCTCCACCATTTTTAGGTTAGGAAATCTGTCGTCATTAAAGCGGGGAGCACAGACTTTTGCATAACGCATAAAGCATGTGCATAAGGAATTTCATTGGTCCATTTTCTTATGCATGAGTCAATGAACCAATCAAATTCTTTATGTATATGGTTTATGCGTTATGCAAAAGGCTGTGCTCCCCGCTTAATACTGAGTAATAACTAATAATCACGAGTGATCACGTTTCTCAAGCATTTTTTGATTAGGAAATCTGTCATTAATAGTGAGTAATAACTAATAATTTATCTCTGTACTCACCACGTTGTTATTCCGCTAGTTTTGTTACGTTGAAACGTGAACCCTTAATACCCATGTAGCGTAATAAGCGCAACGCAAACTTTGCGCAACCAATCATAAATCGTTATTTCATAAAGGTTACAATCACATTAAAACTAATTTCATAAATTTTAACATCTTTAAATATTTTTTCCAATGAGAAATGCATTTAATTCTGTATTTAGATACTTGATAATAAAAAATGAATGATAAATACAATATTTAAACGTCATTTACGAACTTGCTGATAATTCCGCTTACGCTCATTGCGCTCTATGGAGATCAAGGGATTTGAAACCGCGTAATGAAAACTGCGGAATGCTCGTGATTGGTTCCGCTCTCGTTCTGCGTTCCGCTATTCCGCTGCATGGGTTTGCACCCTAATATGCTATGGGCTGTACTTTCTAGAGTATCTATAATAGTTGAGTTCGGCAATGCAAATCTGAGCCTCGGAGTGCTCTTTTTCTATAGTGCACGTGACATAAGCTATAATATAAGAGCACTCCGACGCCTCAGATTTGTTATTACCGAACGCAGCTAATGAGAGTATGGCCATAAGAGCGGAAGTCGCCATTACTGGGACTACGCCGGAAAGAACGGAAAATCGCGCGCAGAACACAGCGAAGTGCACATCTTCACTCCATTTGACGGTCTTGCACCACGAAAAATGCATCGCCCCATGGTTGTTGTCTGAAACTCGAGTTATGATAAAACGTATTTACACCACGCTAATCCATTAATATCCAAAAAATACAATATATTTTTACAATGTAAAGTGAAAGGTAAAAAGTAAAACGTCTACATTTTAATAACAAAATAATTTATAAACAAAATTGTACAATTTAACCCTCAGTTGTCATATTGGGTATGGCATATTCGAGTGATTTTTTCATCGGACTGTACTGTGCAAAAGTATTGCAAAAGTGTTTTTTTATCATATTTAAAGTAAAAATACAGCAATTCAAAAATCTTACGGATGCAATTTACACAATGCATTCTTGATGACAGCTCGAACGGGACTAACCTTTTGGCTACGTATACTAGTAAGCAGCCTGATACACCGATTCACAGACTCACTAACCACCGATTTGGTCCTACATATGGCGGCACCAATCACGAGAAGGTACGCTAAAGCGGGGAGCACAGACTTTTGCATAACGCATAAACTATATACATAAAGAATTTAGCGGGGAGCACAGACTTTTGCATAACGCATAAAGCATGTGCATAAGGAATTTCATTGGTCCATTTTCTTATGCATGAGTCAATGGACCAATCAAATTCTTTATGTATATGGTTTATGCGTTATGCAAAAGTCTGTGCTCCCCGCTTTTGATTGGTCCATTGACTCATGCATAAGAAAATGAACCAATGAAATTCCTTATGCACATGCTTTATGCGTCATGGTGCGATCCCATGGATGTGGAACTGCGCAATGCGGAATTGGCGGAACGCTCGTGATTGGTCGTGGCTTCATTTCGCCGATTCCGCCGTTTTCTATTGCGCAAATTTATTTCTTTTACGGATTTCGCTGATCCCTGCGTATGTGCGTGTGTATTGTATCCAACTCTGAAGCATCTGACAGGGATTTCATACTATCTCCTGCTAAATAGCGGAGTGTAATTTGGAGCCGAGTCTAAGGGTGCTGTCCCATGATACGGAAATTACACCGGAACGGAACAGTGAGACCAATCAGATCTCTGCAATCATTACTCTACTTTCCTTTCTGCGATTGTGATTGGTCTCACTGTTCCGTTCCGGTGTAATTTCCGTATCATGGGACAGCACCCTAAGGGTGCCGTCCCATTAAGCACGGATTGGAATGACGGATCGGGTATCTCACTTATAATTGAGCATTCCGTTCCAGTTCCGTTCCGTGACAGTTTTCTCTACACGTCCCATTTAGCAAAAACGGAACGGAATGTCGCGTCGATCGTTGGTAAATATGCTTGATTCATCGATATTTCGTTATTTTGAGCAGTTGAAGCAATAATATACATATAATTTGTGCAATTATCTTGCTGATAATATTGTTGTGAGTTCTCTAAAATATTGAATTGTAACGGTAAAATATATTTTGTAACTAGATTCCTTTCCGTTTTTGCTGAATGGGACGGGTAGAGAAAACTGTCACGGAACGGAACTGGAACGGAATGCTCAATTCTAGTGAGATACCCGATCCGTCATTCCGATCCGTGCTTAATGGGACGGCCCCTTAGATAAAATAGGATCGCGAATGAAATATTGTTTAGACGGATTGTACGGAATTTCTTGGGAGCTTCTGCACATGAAATGGGTTCATGAACAACATACTCTTTAGTGAGGATTGGTCCGACTAATTGTAATAATGCCTCAAATAATTGAGGTGACATTCGAAATAATCTACATATTTTTCCGTGTCTCCAATCTGCATTTCCTTTACAAGATTTTCACTTGCTCCTTGTTGTGATCTTCTTTCAATGCTGAATATAGGTCGCACCCAATATTTTCGTTTCTTATTATTTTCATTTCTCTCTGCAATTTTGTATAATACATATAGCTTTACAATCTTGCGGCGTAGCTTTTGCTTTTTAAATACACATACACTTTGTTTTAATGAATTTAATAGCTCACAAATGATGATAAATAAGTTTTCCGAATTCATTTTGTTATAATTGCTTTTTTAATATTTATCGTGCCACCAACTATTCCAAGCAGTTGTTTTTCGGTTGAAAGTTTTTGACAAGTGTATGATATATGTGTGTGATTTCGATCCGCAGGAGTTTAGTTTCCTATGTCCCATGGAGCGGAACTTGCGAATGCACAATCAATGCGAGCAAATGACAAACGCTATTCCTGTAGATCTAATGAGAGTGATCTACGGAAAGACTCTTGCGATTGGTCAACGTTAATTGCGCATTCCGCATATTCCGCTTCATGGGACATAGGAGAACACACTTTAGCGGAACGGAATCGGCGGAATGAAGCCACGACCAATCACGAGCGTTCCGCCAATTCCGCATTGCGCAGTTCCGCATCCATGGGATCGCATCATTATGCAAAAGTGTGTGTTTCTCGTCTTAAGCGGGGAGCACAGACTTTTGCATAACGCATAAAACATATACATAAAGAATTTGATTGGTCCATTGACTCATGCATAAGAAAATGGAATTCCATAAAATTCCTTATGCACATGCTTTATGCGTTATGCAAAAGTCTGTGCTCCCCGCTTTATACTGTGCTCTCATTATAAGTACTCTAGTACTTTCAAAAAGAACATACCTAATATCGACAATATTTCGTCGCAGACGCTATGTTCTATTTTCTCTGATACTTTTGGAGAGATTTATTGAAGCTTGATCAAAGACCTAGAAACTTGTGGCACATTCAATTTGTTCTATCACTAATCAAATATTACTCTGAGTGTAGAACGGTGAGTGGCACAGAGTCGAGAGAAATCGCACGGATTGCGCGCCTAGGTTAATACGTTCGTTTAGGATGAGTCTCGGTTGACACAGTACAGAAATGTCATTCAAAATCGGACAACGCGTCGAGGTCCCCGTGAAGGAATGTCAAGGCATGATCGCCTACATCGGTCATCCAGCATTTGCATCGGGTAAATGGATCGGCGTAATACTCGACGAACCGAAGGGGAAGAATAATGGCAGCGTTAAAGGGCAGGTATACTTTAAGGTAAATAAATCAACAAAGAAATATGGTGATGTTTAAAGGTGACCTTAACTAAACTTATCATCAGCAATTAATTCAACCGACAGAATTACTTGTAGCAAAAATTGCAAAATGTGTTACTCGTCTTTATTATCTAATTTTTTTTTTTCATGTGTCAAAAGATATTTTGTTTATATTAACGAAATGATACAAATATCTAATAAATTACCGCTAATTAAATTAATTATATTTTAACAGAACTTTTTTTATATACAAAATCAATGACAAACATATTTATTTCTCTGAGAAACAGAAAGTATTAAATTTCTTTCTATTACAGCGAATTCGATCACTTGCATTATATTAGAATAGTGTACTAAAAGCTACCACATAAAAATAAACAAAAGAATATACATTTTATGTATGTTTACTTTGAACTGGCACCTTCAATAGTGTATGAGTCATTTTTCATGGTAATAATGTATAATCCTCACAATATTAGTTACTAATTATAATAATAATTTGTAAATGTGTGCTTATGAAGATACACGTGATTGAAAACTGGTTAACTCACACACATGTGCTCCAAACTCTTGAATCAAATATAGTGTTCTAGGTGAGAGATAGAAATAACAGTTTTTTAGATTTCAAAAATGAATCACATAAGATCAGTATTAATTCAAAAGAATTCTTATGTACTCCAAAATCTTGAATCAAATATAGTGTTCTATGTGATCAAAATAACAGTTTTTTATATTTTAAAAATAAATCACAAAAGATCAATATTAATTTTAAAAGAATTCTTATAAAATTGTTTTACCATATTTTGTCTACTTTAGCGTAATACATCTTTATTATTGGAAGATAATGAAATGGTAAAAAACCTTAGCACACATAATGAGGTATTCAAGTCAGACGTAAAGTTGGCAACTGTTGGTGTATGTTTACTTTGATGAATCTGGCACCTTCAATAATATGTGAGTCATTTTTCATGGTAATATGTATAATAGTATTTTTTATATACGAATTCATTTCCATTTCATTATCTTTCAATAATAATATAAAAAACTATTATAGTTTGATCCCTCACCTAGAACACTATATTTGATTCAAGATTTTAGAGTGTAAGTTAACAAGTTTTCAATCACGTATATTTTCATAAGTATACGTTTACAAATTATTATTCTAATTAATAATTAATATCGTGATTGTTCTGATAATCAAATACACTAATAAACGTAATAAGTGTTTTGGTATAATGTTATTAAGAAATTGATTAACAGAACAATCGTTCCTCACAATATTGATTATGAATTAGAATAATATTTTGAAAATGTATACTTATGAAGATACACGTGATTGAAAACTGTAACTCACACACATGTGCTTCAAAATCTTGAATCAAATTTCTAGGTGAAAGATCGAAATAACAGCTTCTTGTATTTCAAAAATGAATCACAAAAGATGAGTATTAATTTCAAAAGAATTCATATGTGCTCCACAATCTTAAATTAAATATAGTGTTCTAGGTGAGAGATTCAAATAACAGTTTTTTATATTTCAAAACTGAATCACAAAAGATCAGTATTAATTTTAATAGAATTCTTATATCAAATTGTCTATTTTAACGTAATACATTTTGTTATTGCAAGATAATGAAATGGAAATTAATATATATATAAAAAATCTTGGCATACATAATGAGGTATTCAAGTACATGTTTCAGTTAGACTTATTGTTAGTCAAATCAGACGTAAGTTCGGAACTGTTGGGTATTACTGAAGAAGAAGAGAAGGGAACTGTTGTCTTTTTTACCTTATTATTTTCTTAAATCTAATGACACGTATCATTTGTACGCCAAGTTAAATTCTACCCTTCTTTCTCTCCGACTCGCCCCACTACTCATCATTGTCACTCTCCTTCATATATGTATAATATATTTTTAAATAATTCTTTAAATCATTTTTTATATATATTTTTGATACATCTGTACTTTAACATAATATATTATCACGAAAGTAACTGATATTAAAACATCTATGTAAATATATACAATTTATACTAACTTCGATACATTGTGCACATCCTCCCTCCTCTTCCTCTCCCTCCTCCCTTCCCCACTACTCATCTTTTTCATTTTATTTCACTATCTTGTCGTGTAATATGGATTTTTCCCATAAAATATATCGTTTAATTAACTAGTCTTTAAAAATTCTATCTCTAAAGATCTAAGAGGTACCATTCTTACACTTATTTAATTCTAATGACATGTATCATTTGTATGTATATATAAACTTACCTTTTTAAAAAAAAGGTAGAAAAAAGCGCTAAGAGTGGGTGCTGCTGATCAGAAAACCATTTGGGCCAGTTTCACCAACGTCAATTACTTAATCGACTGTGAAACTGACCAATCACATTTGCTGTTTAGTAGAACCATCTTTAAAAACCTACGTGATATTATCCTTATTTACTTAATTCTAATGACATGTATCATTTGTATAAAAGATTTGATATCAATAGTAGGCGCCAAGTTAAATTCTAATCTTTAAAAAAAAACGTGGTATTATCCTTATTATTTAATTAAATCAATGACATGTATCATTTGTATAAAAGATTTGATATCAATAGTCGGCGCCAAGTTTTTCTACCTTATTACTTACTTAATTTTAATGATATTTATCATTTGTATACAAGATTTGATATCAACAGTCGGCGCCAAGTCAAATTCTACCAAATTAAAAAGTAAAACACAAGTGGTACCTTTAATCTTTAAGAACCCATATAGTACTATTATTTAAATTCTACTAAATTAAAAAGTAAAACCCATGTGGTACTATCTTTATCTTCATACAATGAAACCTAAGTATATGCCTTTGTATTCTTATTAAAAGATCTTCCTATTCGAAACCAAGTGACTTAATTCTTATTTAAAAAAATTATATCACAATTAATTTAAAAACAAAATGAAAAAAATTTATTTAAATAGAAAAATTTTTTATGTAAAAACACTTCGCGCTGCTAGTTCTCGATCTCGATGTAATAAAATACAATAATAAAGACAAGAAACATTTTCACGAAAATTAAAGTATTTAGTGTGTATATATTCGTGCATATGTCTGTGCGAGTGAATTGTATCTCAATCCCAATATATACTAACGTCATAATAAAATTATATATGGATGTAACATTTTGTATAAAAGAGATTAGAAGCTACGAGAGTTAAAAAGTATGCAGTCTGTATGTATATTCGCGTACAGTATATGCGAGTGAAATACATAAAAAAAGAAAAGTAAGCTGTATATTTATTAATCAAATGTAGCATTTAAAATATGTTTAATATAATTTTTAAATTATCATTACCTTTACATATATTTGTATTTATTATTATAGCTTTTAGATAGTTTTCATTGTTTTTCTTATTCGCTCTAGCAGCGCGAAGTGTTTTTACATAAAAAATTTTTCTATTTAAATAAATTTTTTTCATTTTGTTTTTAAATTAATTGTGATATAATTTTTTTAAATAAGAATTAAGTCACTTGGTTTCGAATAGGAAGATCTTTTAATAAGAATACAAAGGCATATACTTAGGTTTCATTGTATGAAGATAAAGATAGTACCACATGGGTTTTACTTTTTAATTTAGTAGAATTTAAATAATAGTACTATATGGGTTCTTAAAGATTAAAGGTACCACTTGTGTTTTACTTTTTAATTTGGTAGAATTTGACTTGGCGCCGACTGTTGATATCAAATCTTGTATACAAATGATAAATATCATTAAAATTAAGTAAGTAATAAGGTAGAAAAACTTGGCGCCGACTATTGATATCAAATCTTTTATACAAATGATACATGTCATTGATTTAATTAAATAATAAGGATAATACCACGTTTTTTTTTAAAGATTAGAATTTAACTTGGCGCCTACTATTGATATCAAATCTTTTATACAAATGATACATGTCATTAGAATTAAGTAAATAAGGATAATATCACGTAGGTTTTTAAAGATGGTTCTACTAAACAGCAAATGTGATTGGTCAGTTTCACAGTCGATTAAGTAATTGACGTTGGTGAAACTGGCCCAAATGGTTTTCTGATCAGCAGCACCCACTCTTAGCGCTTTTTTCTACCTTTTTTTTAAAAAGGTAAGTTTATATATACATACAAATGATACATGTCATTAGAATTAAATAAGTGTAAGAATGGTACCTCTTAGATCTTTAGAGATAGAATTTTTAAAGACTAGTTAATTAAACGATATATTTTATGGGAAAAATCCATATTACACGACAAGATAGTGAAATAAAATGAAAAAGATGAGTAGTGGGGAAGGGAGGAGGGAGAGGAAGAGGAGGGAGGATGTGCACAATGTATCGAAGTTAGTATAAATTGTATATATTTACATAGATGTTTTAATATCAGTTACTTTCGTGATAATATATTATGTTAAAGTACAGATGTATCAAAAATATATATAAAAAATGATTTAAAGAATTATTTAAAAATATATTATACATATATGAAGGAGAGTGACAATGATGAGTAGTGGGGCGAGTCGGAGAGAAAGAAGGGTAGAATTTAACTTGGCGTACAAATGATACGTGTCATTAGATTTAAGAAAATAATAAGGTAAAAAAGACAACAGTTCCCTTCTCTTCTTCTTCAGTAATACCCAACAGTTCCGAACTTACGTCTGATTTGACTAACAATAAGTCTAACTGAAACATGTACTTGAATACCTCATTATGTATGCCAAGATTTTTTATATATATATTAATTTCCATTTCATTATCTTGCAATAACAAAATGTATTACGTTAAAATAGACAATTTGATATAAGAATTCTATTAAAATTAATACTGATCTTTTGTGATTCAGTTTTGAAATATAAAAAACTGTTATTTGAATCTCTCACCTAGAACACTATATTTGATTTAAGATTGTGGAGCACATAAGAATTCTTTTGAAATTAATACTCATCTTTTGTGATTCATTTTTGAAATACAAGAAGCTGTTATTTC